AGCCTCCAGAGGACTCCTGCCCCCTGACAGCAAAGATGGTCATTAGTCATTCCCACTCCACACCTTTGGACCATGTGTCCGGGAGGAGGAGACCCTGATTGGCCAGCCATGGTCATGTGCATATGCTGGGTGGGGTCTTAAACCAGTACTTCAGTGCCCACTGAATCACAGGGAGCAGAGGAGTCTCTGTTGGGCAGCATGTGGAATCTTCCCAGACCAGGGCTTGAACCCGTGTCCCCTGCATTGGCAGGCGGATTCTTAACCACTACGCTACTAGGGAAGTCCCTAAAACTTAAATCCATCAAAAGTCACCTCCTCCAGCATGCATTTCAAGCTCTCTTGTCTAGCAGTTTGCAAGTGCTTTTATTATTGTTCAAATTGTGTGGTAATGTGAGATTCTTTTTCTAGCTGGAGTCTACCTGGTGGACTCTTGGTCCATGTGTAAAACCTTTCATGGAATGCCCCTTCATTCTCCAGCCGTCCCACCCCCAGCCGCCTGCCCGGATCCAAGGCTTTATTCAGCTTTACAAAGTTTTGTAGAGCAAGATGAAGAGAGGAAGACAAGCCCACAGATTTTTCACAGAGGCTGAGAAGCCTGGGAAATAAGAGAAGACCGGGAGATGGGGGTGCTGCTGAAAAGTCAGACAGCATTAATCCAGGGGACTCCCACAGCTTTTGCAGATGGCAGCTGTGCAAACATTCATCCCAATTGAAACCGCTAGGTGGCGTTTCAGGGGGCTCCAAAGAGCTCTGGTTCTTTATGTCTCAGCACAGAAAGAATTCAGTGAGGCAAAGTGTTAGATAAGAAGTGATTTATTAGAAGAGGACACTTGTGAGGCTTACAAGCGGGTGGGTGAGAGGGTGCCCCGCCCTGAGAACTCAGTGGGCTACAGTTTTATAATCAAAGGAAAAGTGAGGAGGGGGAAAAGACCACCGTCTTCCTCATTCTTGAGTAGACGTCATGCTTCCATCATTAGTCCTCCTCTATGTCGGGCGGAGGGGTTTTCTCTGTCATGGGACTATGTAAAAATTATTCCAGGTCTCAGTACAATGAGAGTCTTTCACGTTGAAATATCACCTTTCCATAAATTATTGTTTTTTATGTGTCCAGAGAGTATGTCCTAGGGGTCATTAACTTACTGAGCTCACTGGTCAGGATGTGGGTCTCATGCCACCATTGTTTTATAGTTTGGGGGCATGTCTCTTGCTTCTGTTGCATGGTTTTGTTGCTAAGCAAGCCTGCTTGGCTTTGTGGTTAAGCAAACCTGCTTTCTTGAGTAATCGTTAACTTACAGGGGTCTCCCATACTTTTTTTTTTTGCTTACAATCCCCTAGTGGGATTAACTATTTAATCACCTACTTTACTCTGCCCCTATCAGAATAACTGAGGGAGGACTTTCCTGGTGGTGCAGTGGTTAAGAATCCCCCTGCCAATGCAGGGGACACAGGTTCGAGCCCTGGTCCATGAAGATCCCACATGCCGCGGAGCAACTCAGCCCGTGTGCCACAACTACTGAGCCTGCCCTCTAGAGCCCGCGAGCCACAACTACTGAAGCCCACGCGCCTGGAGCCGGTGCTCCGCAACAAGAGAAGCCACTGCCATGAGAAGCCCGCACACCGCAACGAACAGTAGCCCCCGCTCACCACAACTAGAGAAAGCCCGCACACAGCAACGAAGACCCAACACAGCCAAAAATAAATAAAATTAAAAAAAAAAAAAAAAGAATAACCGAGGGACGTTGCATGTTCCATTTGTGGGGAGGGCATGCTTGTGCCAAGCCAGTGAGGCTCTTGCTGTGCCAATCATGACCAGAAACACTGTCCTTCTGCCAAGGTAACCGGATTTCCCTAGTAAATCTCTTACTTTCCACCTTGTTTACAATGAGTTCGGCCCTGAGAGAACACTTTGCCTCTATGTCCTTATTTCTAATCTTTCCGCTCAACCGTTAACTCCAGTGAAGGTGCTCAGCAGTCAGATGCATCTAGCCTAAAGCTGAAGATGCGGTGGTTCTCACTGCTGGAGAATTACGGAAGGGGCCGACCACAGCCCCAGCAGACGCTTTTATAAGTGGAAACTGTCATTGGTGTCACCTGAAAGCTGGGTTCACCTCTTGTTGGCTGTCAAGCCAAAAGATATAACTTTTAAAAAAAGATTTATTATTTGTTTATTTTTGGCCGCGTTGGGTCTTAGTTGCAGCACGCGGGATCTTCGTTGTGGCACGTGGGATTTTTCGCTGTGGTGCGCGAGCCCTTCGCTGTGGTGCCGGTCTTCTCTCTAGTTGTGGCGTGTGGGTTTTCTCTTCTCTAGTTGTGGTGCGCAGGCTCCAGGGCACGTGGGGCTCTGTAGTTTGCAGCATGCAGGCTCTCTAGTTGAGGTGCGTGGGCTTAGATGCCCCTCAGCGTGTGGGATCTTAGTTCCCTGACCAGGGATTGAACCCGTGCCCCCTGCATTGGAAGGCGGATTCTTTACCACTGGACCACCAGGGAAGTCCCTAAAAGACACAACTGTTATTACCAAGGCTGTTTCTCCAGAATCATCCACCTATCCCTCCCTCGAATGGAAACCAAGTCTCTTATCTAAGTTTCAGGAGGAAGCTGCAAAGAGAAAAACAAGAAGTGGTTAGAACCAACTAGGCCCAAGATGGTGGAAGATTTGACTCCCAGTAGACCTTAAGCCTCATTGTAATGAATTACCATGCTGAATGACACACCCACTAGCGCCATGACAGTTGACAATTGCCATGACAACTGGAAGAGCCCGGACAAGGACTGAAAAGGAGTATTGCATCAATTCCGCGTCCAAACCACACCCCTGTTGTTGGATAACTCACAAATATTCCTCTTCTCTTTCCAATTCACTCTCTTTTACCTCTCCTATATATATGATGTCTCCACCTGAGTTGGGTTGAGAAGTTGATTTGAGAAAAGTTCCTCTTCTCCATTCTTTCTCTTTTTTTATTCATTTATTTATTTTATTTATTTATTTTTGGCTGCTTTGGGTCTTCGTTGCTGCACGCGGGCTTTCTCTAGTTGTGGCGAGCTGGAGCCACTGTTCGTTGCGGTGCGCGGCTTCTCATTACAGTGGCTTTTCTTGTTGCGGACCATGGGCTCTAGGCACACGGGCTTCTGTAGTTGTGGCTCGTGGGCTCTCAAGCGCAGGCTCAGTAGTTGTGGCGCACTGGCTTCATTGCTCTGCGGCATGTGGGAACTTCCCGGACCAGGGCTTGAACCCGGGTCCCTGCATTGGCAGGCAGATTCTTAACCACTGTGCCACCAGGGAAGCCCCTCTTCTCCATTCTTTAGCCATTGAATAAAGCTTGTCTGTTCCAGTCCATCATCGGTTTCATTATTGGCTGTGCAAATCCAAGCAGAAAAAACCTCCTTGGCAGAGACCAGGGGTCTCAGCTGGCCAGGACCCTGGCACAGGTCCAGTCGACCAATTCAATATCACCACCAAGTCAAAGACCAGAAGGAAGGGTTTATTACTTGCAGCAAGAGAACATGGAGGATCCTTCCCAAAGCAGCATCTCCGCAAACAGCAAAATTGGGGCAGTTTTAAACTAAGGGCACATGCACACTTCATGAAGGGGCTTGAGCAGAGGGCAATTCAACATAGAATAGGGGCAAAGGCTGACAGAGTCCAAGCTTTAGTTGATTGAAGTCACCAGGGTCAGAAAAGGTCAACATCATCATTCCTTCATTTTCCACCAGTCTGCGGTCTTAGCATGTAGTTACCACCCTCCACCTGGGTGGGGGTCCTTAGTTCCTGTAGTACAACTCAAAGATATGTATCAGATTATTAAGTCTATCCCTTAAGGAGGAACTAGGACTCCTGTTTTATCGCGGAATTATTGTTTCTTGATGGCTTTCCTCCATTCCTTTTTTCCTTTAAGATCATTAATTACTGAGGCCTGTTCAAAGGCAAGCATTGTGGCCAGGCTCAGATCACAAAATGGCTTAGGCTGAAAATGGCTTCTCTTATGTCAAAAAGCTATATCGGGTTCTTTTCCTCCTGGGAACACCCACACACCCACACACACACACACACACACACATACACAACTGCTTACACTGGGACCTCAGTCTTCCCAGAGATATGAGGAACACCTTCCCTGGAGAGGCGGATGGAGCACAGGAATCCAGCAGAGATCAGTGGAGCTTGCTCCTAAGAACTAGCCTGTCCCCTCCTCTCCCAGCCCTGTAAGCCACTCCAGGGTCCCCTGGACCTGCATGTAGTGGTACCTCTCTGCCCCTGGCCCACGCTCAGACCCTAGGCTCTCAGTCGATCAAAGCCTGCATGTGTTAAATGTCTGAAGTATGGCAGGACACCCCTGCTACTTTTGACCTTTTGCTCTGATTCCATTTGAAAGAGAAATAGCACTTATACGATGTAAAGCAAACAAGGCTGTATGAGAATTGCTTGAGCATGTGCGGCGCAGGGATGATAGCGCGTTACAGGACAATGCCCAGAGGACCTCAAGGAGCTCACTTGGTATAAGCTGTGCTCAAAACATCTACGTTTTTCCTGAGAGCTGGAGGGAAGCTCTAAGTTGGGCCTGCGCTCTGCCCACCGGGCTACGCTGATGCCCTGGGGGAGGCAAAAACGGGATAGGCGTTGGTCCCATTTTACAAGTGGGCAACCTTCGCTGAAGGCGGCCATGTGTCGGCCCCAATTCTACGCAGATAGTGCTGCGGCCAGATAAGGTCAGGAAGCCAGAAGCCAGGATCTCGTCTGACGCAGACCCTGCGAGAGGCAGGCAGTGAGAACGCACTCCGCCCGGAGTCTGTGGCGTTGCCTCTCTGCGCCCAACAGAAAGGCGAGGATCGCGAGTCTCCCAGATCACGTCTCTGCTCCGGGCCTGGGAACCCTTGGGCGCCCAAGCGCGCTGGCCCCGCCCCGCGGTTCCTCCGCGCCCCGCGATTGGCTCCGAGGGGCAGGGCGGGGCCGGACGCCCAGCTGACGTGATGGACGGCGTCAGGCGCCGCGGGAACCGCTTCCTGTTGTCAGTAGTCCGGAGGCCGCAGCGTCCGGTCGGAGTCTTAGGGGCTGCAGCGACCGGGAGTGCCCCCGCCCCCCTCCCCACTCCGTTTGGTGAGTTAGGGGTTGGGGGCGAGGCGGGCAGCAGAGGGGCGGCGAGGCCGGGACGGGAACAGGCGAACAGGGAACAGCAGCTCTCTCCGTGATCCCAAACCCCTGGTTACCTTGAGACTGTCCTGCTTCAGAGTCCTCACCCTTCCCAGCCCAAGCCCCGCGCCCCACTCCAACTAGCCTTCGGCCCGCACTGCCGCTGCTGGCCTCTCCCCTCTATTTGCCACTTGTGACCTGACCCCAGCCCTTACCCCCACCCTCTCACCGCCGGTCTTGCGTAAATGCAGCCGCACCCTTGACCTCCCTGTAGCCCACTTCCAACCCCGACCTTGGCCACATCCCTCCGCCTCCCTCTAACACAGCTCGTCTTCACCTCTCAACCCCTTTGGCCGTGCTAATGCTGCACACAGGCCTCCTCAGGACCCACCATTCTGGTTTGCCTTTTTCGGGATCAGCTTTCTTATCCGAATCTCCCACATCCCCCTGGTCAGCTCCCCACCTCTGTCCCACTCTCATTTAAGACCCACCACTAAAGTAGATGCCCTATTGAGCACACCCTTTTCTTTTTGATAACTCTGATCTCAGCCCTATCCCAAGTCTTACATGTATCTTGTCCTCACAGACTCATACCCTAACTTCCTAGCCCACCATATACTTCCTTTCCATCTCCAACCATCAGAGGACACCCCCATCCCTAAGTCTTTGCTAAACCACCCCCAACTCTTGGTGCCCCAGTTACTACCACCCTCAGCCAATCTTATTAAAAATGAGATCTCCTGCCCTTTCACCTCTGCTGTCCCCACCTCAGCTCTACACCCATTTTTCTCTTGACCCCCGTCCCCATTCAATCTGAGAATTTAGTGCAGAGTCCCCTGCCAACCCCACCGGCTGCCCCTCAACAGCCAAATTTAGGTGCTTGCTGGGAGCCCAGCAGTTAGAGACTGAGCACCTTGATGGGTGCATGCAGGGCCTCAGGTGGTAAATAAATGTGGAGAAGTAGAGATCCGCCCTCGGGTCAGGGTCAGGGATTTTTTTTCCCCGGGTGTCTTGTCCGCTGTACCTGCTCCCAGGGATTATGAGTCTAGCATTCATATTAAATGACTTGTGCTACTGCTGGAATGGTGGGTGTCACCCACATACCTGGAAGGTGAGGAATGGCCACTCACCTAGCTCACTCACAGCCTGGGCCAATGGAAGCCATCACTTCCTTTTGGCTGGTTTTCTGGCCCAGGAGAAACTCAGGGAGTACCACTGTGTGACTGTGGTCACAGAACCACGTCCATGTGTGTTGTCCTGGCACTTGTAAAGGATCCTCCTCACCCAGTGTTCCTCCCGGCTGGAGCTGACAGCAGACCTGTCCCAACGCTTAACACAGGGAACACAGTGGACGCCAGAGATGATGTTACATGTTGTGAAGAGTGTAGGTGAGAGGGTTCCCAGGAGGCTAAGGCGAGTACAGAGGCTGTTGAATCACTTCCTCGTTTTGCAGGTGCTGAATCTTTGAGTTTTGGCCATTTGGTTACCCATGAACGTGGGGAGTTGAGATATCTGAGTAGCTGAGGGAGAGGGACGTTCCTGAGGCACCCGTGCCCCAAGCTCAGCATTTATCATCTCCTGGGCTTTTAGGGCACACATTCTCTCCAAATTCTAGTGACCTGGCTTCAGATGGTTGGCCGTTTGGCAGCAATTTTAAAGGGCCCCAGACAGGACCCGTTGTCTTTGCTTTTGCCGTTTATAGTCTTGTTCCTTTGAAAGTTGAAGCTCTCCCTTCAGTATCCCCCACCCCACCCCCCATTAAGGTGCAATATATCAGAGTGGTCTCAGCCTGCTGGCAGGGTGATTTAATGAAAGGAGTTGCATCGTGGCTGAGAATTGTATACCTCAGCTTTCCTCGGTCTGTGAAATGGAGATAACCTGCCCCTGAGCCTTATTTTTGTTTTTTTCTTCTGTTCATTCAGCAGGTATTTTTTGAGCACCACTGCGTGGTCTGTGTTGTTCTAGGCACTAGAAATGTAATGGTGAATGAGTTGAGCAAAGTTCCTGTTTTTAGTCATTCAGAGTTTGGTCCTTGCTGGAATCCTAAGGATGGGACAAAAATATGGGGGAGATGGGTATTACTGAATGGAAGGAAGGAGGGGGGAAAGAAAGTTACCCCCTGTTCACTGATTCACATTTCTGGGCTCACTCACTAGCCTTTGGTTTGGGAATCACAGGCTAGATGTTTCTTGCCCTGCAGCTGGTATCCAATTGCTTCAAAGATGCAGTTCCCCCAGCACACTCTCTCCATCCCCCGCCCTCCAGGACACTTGTCCAGAAATCCAGCTTTTTACGGGTGGGAGGAGGTGCAGTTTACTCAGCACTAACATGTCTGAAAGATCAGCTGCCTTTCTGAATCAGAAGATAACTTTGTCATTCTTTTCCAACTGATAACTTTGTCATTCTTTTCCAACTGAAAACCATGACTCATCAACTGGTACAGCAGCTGGATGGCTTAAATGTCAGGCTGTTTGTTCTGAACAGCCCGGTGCAGGATTGGATTCAGGCTGTAGAGAGGAGGCTGTTGGGAATGGCTGAGAAGTCTCTAAGGAGAAGAGGTTGCTCTTTACCTATGGATGGAGTGTTTCAGAAGCGGGGAAGCCAAGCCATCCATTTCTTCTTTGAATGTAAGTCTCATATAAGCCATTTTTTTCTTTCTTCCTTGGTCTCTGGAAGAAGTGAAATTGGATGTTTACAGAAGCCCGGGCAGTATAATAAAGAAAAGCAACCACAACAATTCCTTCCTGTGTGTTGGAACATTTAAGAAAGGACAGCTGTGAAACCTGTGTACCATGGAAAGGACCTGGCCTCAGCTGGTTGGGACTACAGACCTGATGGGTAAGATTGTTTCTTGTTGATTTTAGCCTTATTTGATAAAAATGGAGCTTTCTGAGTACTAAGTTAATTATTACTTAGTCTATAAGTAATCAGTTTGCCTGAAACTCTTGGAACCAGAGACCTGAGACAGTTTGATCTGGTGAAGTCTGACACAAGACTTAGAATGAGGAAACCAGACAGTTTTGTCCCTTACCTGGGGCTCTTTTCTACTGAGCCTTAGTCTTCTCCTCTGTAAAACGGGGATAATCATCCTTCTCTCACAGGATTGTTTTTTTTAATTAATTAATTTATTTATTTATTTTTGGCTGCGTTGGGTCTTCATTGCTGTGCGCGGGCTGTCTTTAGTTGCAGAGAGCAGGGGCTACTCTTTGTTGTGGTGCATGGGCTTCTCATTGTGGTGGCTTCTCTTGTTGCAGACCATGGGCTCTAGGCGCATGGGCTTCAGTAGTTGTGGCTCTCGGGCTCTAGAGCGCAGGCTCAGTAGTTGTGGCACATGGGCTTAGTTGCTCCGTGGCATGTGGGATATTCCCAGACCAGGGCTCAAACCCGTGTCCCCTGCATTGGCAGGCGGATTCTTAACCACTGCACCACCAGGGAAGTCCCCAGGGTTGTTTTAAGAATTAAATGAGATTAGAGAAGCTAGGAGAGCCATGTCAGGATGAATCAGTACTTACGGGGAGAGGTAGACTTCTCGTGGTTAGGAGTTGCCTAAAAGGCAGACAGAAGTCACCTTTTCTGCTAAACTCCACCAGTAATGTTTGAGGAGCTCTTTGGTAATGTTGCCCACGTTCTCTCCTTAACTCTTTTTAGCCTAGGTCTCCTTGCAGCCACGCCTCTCTTTGCTTTGGCTTTTGGTGTCAATGAAGACTGTTCTGGGGACAGGAAGTGAAACCAGTCCCATAGGAAGGTGGACTGGGGGTCTAGAGAATGACGGAGTGCTGACCCAGCAGTCAGGAGACCCAAAGCCCCATTATGGTTCCGTCAGCAAGTTCTCGTGTCTCCTGCCCCCTGAGGCATGATGGAGCAGACCCACATAGGTGGGGTGCTTTGGCTTCTTGCAAAGAAAGTTGTGCCCTGGATTGTGGCCCGAACCCCAAAGCCTCAGTCCTGTTTTGTGAATTGTCAAGTGGCCATTCTCCTTCTGGACTCCTGCACCGTCGTCAGTCATTTTGTGGCTTTTCTGACTCTTGGTTTTAGGGGGCAATTACGTGTCTCCCCCTGCTCTGACCTCTCAGCATCAGTTTGCTTTGGGTTTTTAGCAGACCCTTACTGGGCTGGAGGACCCACTTACTAACAGGCCTCCCTCCGTCCCATGAATACTATTTTCAGTTAATTAGTCAATGAGGCTTTAACGGATCCGGGCTGTTCTTTAGATTGTTGAGGCCTGAGCCCTTCCTGGCCTGGCCCGTGGCTGGCTGAGGGAAGGGCAGTTTCGCAGCTTGAGGCTCTAGAAGGGCAGGCCGGAGGGGAGGCCTTCGGCTGCTGGAATTGCTGAAGGCGATTGGAACCCAGGGTCTTGGAGCCAGAGAACCTGGATTTGGCCTCCTGGGCTGCACAAGGGTGGCCTGGAAGGAACGTTGTCCAGAGGGACTGTCTGCAGCACATGTCCCCTTGTCTGGGGCGCTGGTGGCTGGAGTGTGGAGGAGAGCCCTGAAGAATCCCTGGTAGGTGGGAGGGGGATGAGGTGAGGGTGAGGTAAGTCAGACAAGGCCTGAGGCTGGGGGCCCGTGTTCTGGGGTCTCTCACACCCTGACCAGAGTTGGCTCTGCGGGGGCCGCCCTCCACACACCTCCCTCCCTCTGCATGTCCTTACTTGGAGAGGTTGGCTCTGGGTCCTGTTTACCCACTGCCCACTCCACAGGCCAGGGATTGAATCAGAGCAGCTCCTACCATTTAGGGCCACTCTGCCTCTCTCATCTCCAAGTGTCATGCTCATGTCCCCCTGTAAACCTCTCCTGCCAGACTGACCTCAGTGTTCCACTGTGGCCTCTCACCGGGGCCCCCGGCTGAAGAGCCCTCCTCCCAGGCCTCCCCTGCCCCCTCGCCCGTTGCCCCCTTAGCCCCAGCCCACACCCGCCTCTTCCAGAAGGGAGGTGGTCGCACTCCTCCTGGAGTCTGGGGGTTTCTCTTGAGCTCGGGTTGCTGTTGTCCTGGCGGCGGCTGGTAGAGTTGGCCACTTACCAGCCCTGGGATCTTGGGAATTTCCCCGACCTGGGTCAGCTTCTACTTCTTATCTGTCAGACTGAGATGATAAGACACTCCTAGGATGGTTATCAGGAATGAATGGGGTAACACATGTAAAGGGCACAAAACCCATTTAACAGGTCTTGGTTTTACTAACTTCTTTGGGCCATGGGTTCTTGAGAGCAGAGAAAGCAGTAACCTGATTTTCTCTCTCTTTATTATTTTTTGTTGGTGGTGGTGTCCCCTCATGCTTAGCTGTGTGGCCACTAGAGATTTGTTTAGATGTGAGTGTGCCTGTCCAGTCCTGCCCTGTGCAAGTTCCCGGGGTGGGGCAGGCCAGGCAGCAGCCCCTTCATGCTCAGGCCGTAGTCCTCGCCCCCACCCCACCCTTAGCCTCAGCCACCCCGGGAGAGAGCCAGCTGCCTCGAGAGATTTCTCTGCGTACTGACTTCAGCTCCTAGCACACGCTTAGTTAGGTAGTGGCATTCTTCGCCTGTAGATTCGGGCGGCCGCATCCACTGGGGTTAGAGATACCATTTATCCTCGGTAAATATCAGGCCCTGCGCTCAGCGTTTTCCATACTCATAGTCTCCACTTAAGAGGTCTGATACGTGCCCCAGTGTGCCTAGCTGGTTAGTGGCAAATTGAGATCAGAACCCGTGTTGTTCCCCTTTAGACATGTCCCTGTGCTGCTCAAGCTAGACCTTTGCAGCCCAAAGGAGAAGCAGCTGTGTGGCGAGAGAGCCCTTCCTTTTGAAGGCGTTTCAGTTGTACTTTTCCCCACTGAGCTGGCCGACCCTGGGATGGGACAGGAGTCGGGACAGTTGCAGAGCCCAGGCCCTGAATGTGAATTGTGAGCCCCTGCTTCCCGGCCCCTGTGGGTTCTTGGCCCCTTCAGCTGCAGCATCCCCCCTTGCAGCCTCACATCTGTATCTAAGTTAGCCTTTTTTTTTTTTTAATAAATTTATTTATTTTTGTCTGTGTTTGGTCTTCATTGCTGCATGCGGGCTTTCTCTATTTGCAGCAGGCAGGGGCTACTCCTCATTGCGGTGTGCAGGCTTCTCATTGCTGTGGCTTCTCTTGTTGCGGAGCACGGGCTCTAGGCGCGCGGGCTTCAGTAGTTGTGGCACACGGGCTCAGTAGTTGTGGCTCACAGGCTCTAGAGTGCAGGCTCAGTAGTTGTGGCGCACGGGCTTAGTTGCTTCGCGGCATGTGGGATCTTCCCAGACCAGGGCTTGAACCCATGTACGCTGCATTGGCAGGCAGATTCTTAACCACTGCGCCACCAGGGAGGTCCCTAAATTAGCCTTTTATTCCCTGCTTTTTTGTGCCAGCATTTGGAGTGGTGTCAAGAGCCCTTTCTACCCACCGTTTGGGATAGACTCGCCCATGGCACACCCCACGAAATCTTGTTTCCTTCCTTGTTTCCATCCTTAAAATCCACTCTCAGTTTTTACTTTTGTATTGAAAGTCCTTGCAGTTGCAGGTTGAGTAAGATGGGGGTGGGGCGTGGGGAGGAGATCGTTTGGGCACAATGATTGTTCATCTGGCCGTGTCTGTCCCTGTAGGTGTCATGTGATTCTTCTGGGGAGCTGCTGCTTGAGTGGAAATGCTCTCAGCGGTGGAGAATGGACTGGACCCCCGGGCTGCCATCCCGGTAGGCAACAAGGGAGAATCAAGGGTGGAGGAAGGGGTGCCTGGGACAGCCATTTCATTGTTTTCATTGTTTTTTCTCACTTTGAAATGCATTTGCACTGTTCAGAAAGAGAGGCCTGGAGTTGAGAAAAAGTTATAGCAGAAGCAGGCTCCGAGGAGATCCTGCCCTTTCTAGATCCTGCCCTTTCTAGATCATCTTAATGGTGATAGAATGGAGATTTACAAAAAACAATGGAGATTGCATGTAGGTTACCTGAGGACCAAGGATTTCTCCAAAGAAGATATACAAATGACCAATAAGTACATAAAAAGACGCTCCACATCATTAGACATTAGACAACAGCAAATCAAAACCATAATGAGGAAAACAGAAGTAGAGTCACCACGGATGTAGAAAACAAACTCATGGTTACCGGGGACAAGGTGTGGGAGGGATAAATTGGGAGATTGGGACTGACGTATACACACTACTATATATAAAATAGATAACCAATAAGAACCTGCTGTATAGCACAGGGACTCCACTCAGTACTTTGTAATGGCCTGTATAGGAAAAGAATCTAAAAAAAAAAAAAGGTGGATATATGTCTATGTATAACTGATTCACTTTGCTGTACACCTGAAACTAACACAACATTTTACGGCAACTATACTCCAATACAACTTTTTTTTAAAAAGTAAAATAAAATAGTAAGAAAAAAAAATCATAATGAGGGACTTACCCAGTGGTTCAGTGGTTAAGACTCCGTGCTTCCAGTGCGGGGAGGTAGGGGTTCAGCCCCTGGTTGGGGAACTAAGATCCCACATGCTGTGCGGCGTGGCCAGAAAAAAAAAAAAAACATAATGAGATACTTCTTCATATCCACTAGGATGACTGTAATCGAAATGGCAGACAATAATAAGTATTGGTGGGGTTGTGGAGAAGGTGGAACTCTCATACCTTCCTGGTGGGAGTGTAAAATGGTACAGCCATTGTGGAAAACAGTTTGATAGTTCCTCAAAAAGTGAAACATAGAGTTGCATGTGACTCAGCAATTCCACTCCTAGGTATACACCCAAGAGAATTGAAAACATATATTTACACAAAAAACTATGAACATGAATGTTCATAGCAGTGTTGTAGCCAAAAAGTGGAAACAACCCAAATATCTATTAATCGATGAATGGCTAAATATAATGTGATATATCCATGCAATGGAATATTATTTGGCAATAAAAAGGAATGAAGGACTGATATATGCTACAACACAGACAAACTTGAAAACGTGCTAAGTGAAGTCAGACACAAAAGGCTGCATATCATATGATTCCATTTATAAGAAATGTCCAGAATAGGCAAATCCATAGAGACAGAAAGTAGATCAGTGGTTGCCAAGGGTTGGGGGAGAGGGGAATAGTGAGTGACTGCTGATAGGTACAGGGTTTCTTTTGGGGGTCATAAAAATGTTCTAAAATTAGATAGCAGAAATGGTTGCACAATTCTGTGAATGTACTAAAAACCACTGAGCTGTATATTTTAATGAGTGAATTCTATGATATGTAAATTATGTCTCATTAAAGCTGTTCTAAAAAAGGAACATTTAACTTTTCAAAGAACATTAACATTAATTGTGTTGGCTAAAATAAAAGTGAAACAGTGAAATATTTGTCCATAATCCTATCACCTAATAATTCAAACCAGTTTTTCTGCAATCCCTTCCAGTCCTTTTCCAAACCCTTAGGTAATTTTGATATATGTACTTATATTATGATAGAACGATCTTAACTATGTATTTTCAAAGGACTTTATGTATATTTTATAATTTATTCATTTAGCAAACATTTACTGAGTACATGTGCCAAGAACCAGGCCCATTGTGGAGGGCACAAGGATGAATAAAAAACTAGTCCTGAGCTTCCCTGGTGGCGCAGTGGTTGAGAGTCCGCCTGCCGATGCAGGGGACACGGGTTTGTGCCCTGGTCCGGGAGGATCCCACATGCCGTGGAGCGGCTGGGCCCGTGAGCCATGGCCGCTGAGCCTGCGCATCCGGAGCCTGTGCTCCGCAACGGGAGAGGCCACAAGAGTGACAGGCCCCTGTAACGCAAAAAAAAAAACCAAAAAAAAAAACTAGTCCTACTTTCAAAGAGTAATACCCCCAGCTGTAAATCACCAAGTATTATTTCCATTTAACAGATGAGAAAGTTGAGGCTCAGAGAGGTTAAGTGAAATATCTGAGGTGACCCAACTGGTGACTGACAGAGCTGAGACTAAACCCAGGCTCTGACTGCCAGGTCTAGGATCTTTCTTCATGTAAACTGTGCTCCTGTTTCTGGGTGTTTTTATTGTTCTAAAGCAACACTTTTTGACTCTTAACCTGTTGACTCTCAGTGGAATGTTGGTCATGTGATTAAGGTAGAAAGCCTCACCCCTGCCCTAAATGGATTACCCAAGCTCCCATAGCTGTAACTCTGATGGAGCCAGTATTTAAACACAAGGTTTATATGGCTGTCAGCTCACTGAAGTTTGGTTTAAAAAACAAACAGGGATTTCCCTGGCCGTCCAGTGGTTAGGACCCAGCGCTGTCACTGCCGTGGGCCGGGTTCAGTCCCTGGTCGGGGAACTAAGATCCCACAAGCCTCTCTGTGCGGCCAATAAATAAGTAAATAAAAAATAGAAAACAAAGAAATTTTTAAAACACACGTATCTTTGCAAAAACTAACACATCTTGGGGCGATTTTCCTTTTCTTCTCTCTGCTTTCTCTTTATTTTCTACTGTTAGCCTGTACTCGTTTTGCTACACAGATATGTAGATTTGTGCATGCATGTGGACCCATGAGTTTGGCCACAGGAAGAGTCACATTGCAGGGGTCGCCACAGGAGCCTCTAAAGGCCTGTGTTATGTCTGGCGCCACCCAGGTCATCAAGAAGAAGCTAGTGGGCTCCGTGAAGGCACTGCAGAAGCAGTACGTGTCCTTGGACACAGCAGTCACAAGTGAAGACGGAGATGCCAACAGCATGTGCAGCGCCCTGGAAGCCGTCTTCATCCACGGCCTGCACACCAAGCACATCCGAGCCGAGGCCGGAGGGAAAAGGAAGAAAAGTGCCCACCAGAAGCCTCTGCCTCAGCCCGTCTTCTGGCCCCTCCTGAAAGCTGTCACCCACAAGTGAGAGCTGCTGGGGGTGGTGGGGCAGGGGGTGGAGGCAGTTCACGTCGGGGAAGAGCTTCAGAGTGTGGGACGCTGGGCTCTTCCCTCCAGCCATGCGGGAGAGACACAGAGAGCCCTGTGTCCCGGAGAGGAGTTAGTGGACCAAGCGGGGTGGGGGTGGGGGGATGTTAGACCAGGGCTCAGTGAGCCCCTCAGGCCATGGCCTGGGGCAGCGTCGAGCCCCTGGGCTGGGCGCCCTAAGCAAGAGCAGGAGCCTTCTTTGTACCACCCTCTGGCAAATTCGGTAGTTGCAACAGAGGTTGTGCGGCCTGCAGAGCCTGAAATCTTTACTGTCTGGCGCTTTCCAGAAGTTTGCTGACCCTGCCTTAGGATGTTTGCACATCTGTGTGCTACATATCATACTTGTAACAAGGTAGGGTTTGTTTCTTTTTTTTTAAGAAGAGTGGCATCCAGCTAGAGCCTCTGAATGTGTGCTCTGAGACACTTGTCTTGCTGGCCCTGCCCTGAACCGCCTGGACTTCGGAGCAGGCAGCTGACACTGTGCCTCTCGGGGCTATTAAATGCCACCTCCTGCCCGAAGGTGCCTTTGTCAGTCTCTAATCTTCCTTCCCGTGCTACTGCCGCTGCCCTATCTCAGGCTCTTACCTGACTCCTGGGTGGCAGTGCCTTTCTAATTGTCCCCCTTATCTCATTCTGTCTTTCCTTTGGTCAGTCAGCCAACATTTACTGAGCTTAAGCTGACTGGAGCTCCATCACTGGGTTCTGCAGAGTACGGTCCGCACTCCCGTGGAGGAGACGTGCACAGGGGATGGCGGTAGTCAGAGGAGGGGCATTTACATCAGACCGAGGCATTCAGGAGCTGAGTTTGGTACACGTGAGGTCGGGTTGGGTAGGAACACCCCACCCTGAAGTCTGCGTAGCTGCGAGCACGTCACTTTCCTGAGCAAAAACCTATAGCCCACAGGCTCCCAAACGCCAGCCTGGGGTCTGCTTCACTTGGCTGGGGCCCCGGAACCTGTATCCTAACCTAGTTCCCCAGGTGATTCGGGTGCACAGCCAGGTGTGGGGAGCATCGCCCCGCTTTGCCTCCCCCGTTTGATACTCAAGGCCTGCATTACCTGGCTTTGCAACCCAATCACCCACTCTTTGTCCCTGTGCTGTAACTGGAGCACTCCCCACTCCTGTTACAGTCTGTTGCTTTCCTACCCTTTATGCTTTTTTCTCCGTCAGTCCCTTGTGCCTCAAAGGTTCTCCATCCATCTTTGCCTCTTTAGTCTCTCAAGGCCCAGCTCAGATACTACCCTCTTCTGTGGTGTTTTCCTTACTCCAACCCAGAGATGATTACCCAGCCCTCACCCCAGCTCTGCTAACAACAGGGCTCACCTCAATATGCCCTTGAAAGGCGGTTTCCTGGACCGAGGGTAGGGACCATGACTTTACCCTGTGTCTTCACAGCTCTGAGGACCTCAACCTAAAATTTAGGGGCTTAGCAGACACGTCCAGGATGAGCAGGTGATGTCAGGGGCCGGACGGGTAGTTGTCATGAAAATGGCAACAATCCTTCATGACACTAAATGTAAAAAAGTTGGGGGTTTAGAGCTGAACCTTTCTAAATTCCCCTTTAACACTGTTATCCAGGAGCTTTTCATGCCTATGTATATTTGTGGTCGTTGTTACTGGCTCTTGCTAACCAGTGGATAAAATGACATGTCCATGATTTGGAGTTGTTTCTTGAAAACACGTGTGCTCTCCGCCTTCCCAGACACATCATCTCGGAATTGGAGCACCTGATCTTCGTGAGCACGGATGTGGGCCGCTGCCGGGCCTGGCTGCGGCTGGCCCTCAATGACGGCCTGATGGAGTGCTACCTGAAGCTGCTGCTGCAGGAGCAGGCCCGCCTGTGCGAGTACTATCAGCCCACGGCCCTGCTCCGTGACGCCGAGGAGGGCGAGTTCCTCCTGAGCTTCCTGCAGGGCCTGACGTCCCTGTCCTTCGAGCTCTCCTACAAGTCTGCCATCCTAAACGAGTGGACGCTCACCCCGCTGGCCCTCTCCGGGCTCTGCCCGCTCTCGGAGCTCGACCCCCTCACTACCTCTGGAGCGGAACTACAGCGGAAGGAGTCTCTGGATTCCATCTCCCATTCCTCAGGCTCGGAGGACATCGAGGTCCAGCACTCGGGCCATAAGATCCGACGGAACAGGGGGCTCACGGCCTCCTCCCTCAGTCTGGACACGGCCAGTTCGTCTCAGCTCTCTTGCAGCCTCAACTCTGACAGCTGCCTGCTCCAAGAGAATGGCTCCAAGAGTCCAGACCGTTCCGAGGAGCCCATGTCCTGCGACTCAGACCTGGGGACGGCAAATGCTGACGATTCGGACCCGTCTCTGCAAGAGTGAGTACCCCTCCCCCACCCCTTCCCTCTCTTTCTCCTTCCTTCTTCTCTTCCTCTTGCCCTCCCTCCCTTCCTGGGGCATGTGATTGCCTGTCACTGAGCACGGAACTCTGTTAGGGTGTAAAGACAGATGAAGGGGGCAGGGACTCTCCCCCAGAGACTGGAATTGCTGGGAGCTGTACCTTCAGGCAGACTGGGGCCAGTGGGGAGAATGCATTTAGATGGGGCTCAGAGTTGGTTCCAGCCCCATCTCTGTCCTGGTGACCTGTAACAAGTTATTTAATCTCTGAGATTTAGTGTGAAATATTATTGTCGTCTTCATCTAGAGAGAAGGAAACTGATAGTTCAGAGCTCTATGTACAACTTCCCAAAAAGTGCAGTGAAGCACAGTGCATAAGGGTGATCTTCTGGGACCTCACAGAAGACCTTCTGGGGGACACAAAACCTGAGTGATGCCAGGACGGGGGTGGCAGACAAATGGGGACGAGCAAGTGTGTGGAGGAGGAGGACATGGAATGATGAACTGGACTGGAGAGGGGAGCCTGGCCAGAGCCTGCCTTCCTTCAGGCTTTTTAACATTAATTTTTGAATAGATAATATATTTTTATAGTTAAAAAAAATCTAAAATATATACAGTGAAAAGTCTTTCCCACTGTATTTATGTAACCATAATTATTAATTTCTTGCATATTTTTCCAATTTCTAAATGCATCTATAACAAATATGAATGTACAAATTTTTAAATTTTCTTTTTTTTTTTTTTTTTTTTTTTTTTTTT